TCGATTTCAAAATTGACATTTTCACGCAAGGCTAAGCCACACATATTATTTTTGGACGAACTATTTTGTAGCGAGGCATTCGGTTGTATCGGCAATTTTTTAAGTGATGACTGTTTTGAGTTGCTTTCTATAAGTTCTGTTTGCGACAGGGAGTTAAAAGTCGACACTGTTATTGTATTGGAGGCGGGTATTGTCTCGTAACTACTCGTCATGCAGTAGGAGTCCATTGATTTGTCCGACGAAAATAGGTTCGAAATTGAGGCTGAGTGAGTGATACTTTGACTAAATGAGCTATTTTGTTCCTCTTGCTGCTGTTGTTGTTTTTGTGAGTCTTTAAGACGACGATACTCCTCTGGTCCAATATAACCGCTAAGCCGACTGTTGGATTCGTTTCTCTCGCGTGCAATTTTCGCTTTCGCATGTAGATAAATATCGTCTGCATTGCGACCGCCCATCACATTGTGCACATACCGTTTGGCCAAACTGTAATAAATAGATGATATGAATTTGAAAATATTTTCTTCAAAATATATGCAATTTATTGACATCACACCAGGGTTGCGAATTTTTTTTGTTAAAAAATCTTGAATCTAAAATAAAATTTAAAATTTTCCGATAATGAAAATTAAAACATAGTTTTGAATTTTCCCAAAATTAAAATTAAAAATTGAAAATTGTATTTTTGTTTGCATAAGTCCAAGGTGTTATGACTTTAAAAATTTAAAAAACAAATATTTGATTGCGAATTTAAAATTTATTTTTAATTCAAAATTTTTTAAATAAAAGTTCGCAACCGAAAAATTTGTTTGGGATTAAAAACTGTAAATTTTATATTTAGTTACATACTAAAAATTGAAAATTTTAATTTTAATCCCAAAATCGGAATTAAAAATTGTCAAAATATAAATCGTTTGAATGTGTAAGTTTGCCGATCACTGCTTTACAGTATTAAAGATCAAAAATGTAAATTCTAAAACAACTTGGTTTTTTAATTTTTAACTATATGCTTTCGATTAAATATTTGGGATTAAAAATAAATTTTTAATCCGGTTTGTGGGATTGACTTCTTTTCAATACCATATTAAAAATTTTCAAATTATTATTAATTAAGATTTTCGTGATTATACAAAAAATTTCATAAATGTCAATTCAATTATTTTTAAATGCATTATTTTTAATGCCTTACAAAATAAACTTACCGCAACAACGTTTCACTGTTACTTGTGCTGCTCTTTTGGAAAAATTCCTGAAAGATACGACGCACAACTCTAGCCAATACTGCTGCATACTGTTTGAAGCTTTCATGTTTCATGGTGATTTTCTTCTCCTGCAGCGCTTGCGACACTGCCCACAAAAGTTTCTACAATCAATCATAATTAAAATAAATTTTTTTTTTTGTTTTTCTATAAATGCATTTTACGGTGTACCTTTCGTTGATTCTCCGTTAAATTGGTTGTTTGTGCAACCATTTCCGAATGCGAACGTTGTATTTTACCAGTGGTATTCATGGCCGATGAACCAGACGAAAAAGTGCTTGTACTGCCAAACAAAGTGCCACTACTGCCGAGACCCGAACTTCTACTTGACATTAAATTGTGCGTTTCAACACCAGCAATGCAAGTTAAACCTGACTTCGCTGTGGCATTAGGCAGTGTTGACGAGGAACCAGTCCCAATACAAAAGCTTTGACTTTTAATTTTTAATGCACGTGGTGTTAAATTCTCAGCACCGCCTCGAAACAGTTTACTACTTTGTGATGGTAAATCAGCGGAGTCGTCGTCGTCGATAGCTGAACGTTTGCGCTTAAAGATCGAATCAAATTGTTGTTTATTTAAACGACTCTGCTGTGCGGTACTCAACTTTGGGGTGTTTGTATTTGAGTTTTCTGTTTGTTTATCTGGTGAGAAAAGTGCACGTTTTGATTTCTCAACACGATTTGCTATTTCGGGCTTAATGCTGGGCATGAGCCTTTGGACGGGTTGTTTCTGTTCCATTTGTTTAGCTGGGCTTTGAAACAGTGCACGTTTCGAAGATTCTCGGGACGGGCCGGGTTTGCTGAGATCACAACGGAAAAGTCGTTTACGTGCCGATGATGAGGGCGTCTTACGTGCTAAACGAAAAAACACATCGAATGTTATAATATTGCTAACAAAAAAAAAAATAAATACAAAAAAAAAAAAAAAAATAAAAAAATAAAAAATAAATACAAAAAAAAAAAATAAAAAATAAAAATATAATAAAATAAAATTAAAAAAATATATAAAAAAAAATAAAGTAATAGATAATTACTTTTCTTTTTGCTGCCTGGAGTCATACGTTTTGGTGTATTTTTACGGCGATTTTTATTCTTCCTAAAGAGACATAAATTATTAATGTTGGAATCACATTGAGATAAGCATTATTGTATATACTTTTGAATATCCACCAATATTTGTGGACCACGCAAACTATTAGATTTCTGAGTGGCCAACTGCGCTGAAGAAAAAGTGGCACGACGTCTAGCCAAATGGCTTAAACGATTTCCAGGGGATTGTGTCAGTAATCTAAAAAATAAAACGATTATAAGAATATATATACACAGTGTAATTGAGGTTAAAAGATTCAGCTATTTTTTTTTTTTATGTGCACTCACTTCATACGAGCATTACGCTTTTTTGCGCTAGATGGTGAATTACGATATGAAGACGCCGTTTCGGCACCAATGAAACGTTCAATTACCGACAAGCCCAAATATTCATTATTTTCAGACGCTTTGCACAGGTTAAAACTTTAAAACAAATAATAGGTAAATTTACATTTAAACACTGTATGTATATCACGCGTATTACACACCTAAGACCATGTTGTCTAACACCAAGCACCTGTCGCCAACTCATTTCCTTCGTCTCATCAATCGGATGTGTGGGCTTGAGGATGCTGGTACAAGTGTTTGAAGAACTACACGCAACTAAACTATTAGTGGAGTTGATATCGACAGTAAAATCCAATATATCCTGTTTTCGACTTATCACGGCGCTGAACATGTCCAACTGTGGTATAGTTACCGATGGAGGTGGTGGTATACCGGCCAAACATTTTCGTATACGCCGTAAGAGTTCTCTTTCTCGACGACAGTTCTCGCGATATAAACTGTAATTATCTGTACGTGGCTGATCTGTCTGTTGTGAGTTCAATTCACATGTTTGATCGTCAGCGAAACTGGACTCATTTGGACAGTTTACTGATTTATTTACACATGTGTCCACAGATGCTTCAACAGTATTTTGAGTATTAATTGAATTGTCAATAGCAATGGCAACTGGTGAAGCGATTTCCAACCGATTTTCATTTTCTATAACCTCCGTTGCTTCTTCATCAACAGCGGATTCAGCGGTCCCAACAAACTCAATTAATTCTTCAGCTGTGAAGCGATCTTCATATTTGCTTGTGTCCAAGTCTTCTTCATTTTCATTATCATCGTCATCATCATCGTCATCGCCAAACAAGTCTGGTGATTTTTCATTACTATATTTTTTGAGAGTAAAGGATTGATTCAGTTGACTTTGCATTTCAATATTAGATGCTTTCTCTTTCTCATGAGCTGTTGTTGGAGTCAGGCTCTTTATTTTTCCGTTAAAAGATAGTTCGACCTCGGCCAATGGCTCATATTGAAGATTTGGTGCAACAGGTTCCAATTCTTTGCTAAATGAAAGCAAATAATCAACGCCATTTTCTTGAGAGACTTTATCAATTTCCGTAGGTGAGGTCTTTTCGTTCAGCAACTGAATGTCAACTGCATTACAACTATTTTCTTCGACAATCATATCATAGAATCTTGAAAATACGGTGCTGCCTTTTGGGGGTAGTGACTTTTCAAACGTTTCAGGTAGGTGAGCAGAGATGGAAGTAGTTGGAAAGAATTGTCTTTGCAATTTGCCATAAGGACTTTCTGTAAAGCCTTTAAATGCTGACTCTAAGCTTATTGGTCGACTTGCTGCAGTTTCATTGCTTCTGCTTGGTGATGGTTCTTCATATATTCCTGGCAACGAATTGGACATTGCTGATATGAGTGGAATTTTATTTTCTTGACTTGATATAAAATAATTGCCGTCTGCTTGGATTATAACTTCAGTTTCATACGATGGTGGTTTTAGCATATATGGTAAATGCATACTTGCGTCATAAACTGAGTTGTACTCCAGTGGCTCGGTGAGAGACGACTATAAATTCAAAAAATATAAATATATGTTATGCCCCAGATAATATAAACATAGCAAGTAAGATGTAGATGTTAATATAATGATAAAATAGAGCATGCATATTAAGTAATGAAGCTATACAGTATCTAGGTGAAGAATTAAGAAAATTGGGCAACCACTTACACCACTAGACGGTTCAGATTCATAGCTATTATTAATTTTGATGCGTTTTTCGGCGCTCATACTTCAAAAAATTGCACTCCCTGTCCCAGCTTTTGAAATCACCTGCAGTAAGGAAAGCATTTTTAACTCTACACCAAATACAAGACCTATACTACATACATTAGGATAGTTAATACTGTATACATAACATTCAACGTACTTTATCAAATTTAATATCTATTTTATAAAAACTAGTTAGATACAAAACTAAATACATATTTATTTATATTATTTACCAATCTTAAAAAATTCTTTAACTATGTATATGTAGGTTTGTAGAAGCAGTTTACAGCCAGATGTTCACATATATAATATAAAAAAAAAAATCACTCAAAGCGTAGTGAAAAGCGCGCGCCTGATATTGTTACCGCTGATTTTCCTTTACACATATGTATGCTATTATTCAACACCAACTAATCAATTCAATAGATATAATGCAATACGTTTTATTTATTTAAACGCATATCGAATATATTGTTATTTATAAACTTTTATCACGAAATCTAATTAAAATATCCTAAAAGAACTATACAAAATTATGCTGCGGTGGGCTAAATATCTGCAATTGGTGAAGTTACATTGCCACTGGGCAATGAAACTGTCAAAGTTTGTGGTACCACCCTTGCCATCGATTCAAGACTATCGATTATTACGATTATTTATTTAAAAATAATACAAATAAGGAGTGGACTTAATAACATATATGTTTTCTAGTTGAAAAATGTTTCACATAGATTAATAAAATAATTTTATTGAGGAGAATGGTTTATATATAATATATGTTCGGGTGTCTGGTGTTAAGATTAATATAATTAATTAATATTATCATGAAATGAATTTATACAACTGACAAGCATTGGATTCATATATATTTAAAAAAAATACCAAATTTAAATTTAAAGGTTTTGCAAGGTTAACACACAGAAAACAGAATATAATTGATAAAATTATGTAAAAGAGTATGCTTTTATTTCATTTGTGAGATAGTCAAAATATATCGATAATATAATTTCATCTTTTTTTGTTTATATTTATTACAAACTTAAGATACTTTCCCAATTGTATATAATTTATCCGAAATTGATAAGTAAAAAATAGTGACAAGAGGAACAATTGCAACCTATAAATAAGCAAAGTACTTAATATAAAGAACACAAAGATGCCATTAACTGCTGAAAATGCTGCTCTACAAATTCAGGTATTTATACATACATATTTAATATTAAATTTTCATTATAAACATTTACAACATTTACAACACAAGGACCGGTTAAAAGATTTGCAGCGGCTCATTCATCAAATCGATGACGAACGTAGACGTTCTGAGGCGAATGTGAATAGTATACTTCGCGCACAACAATCAAATTTTCCACCGCAAAAATTGAAAACATTATACAAAACTGGACTTCAAGATGCTTCTCATGAAGAAGCGACTATACGTGGAGCTTTAGACAAAATACAGGAAATTCGGAATATACGAAATGAACGTCGCGTTGCTGCCCGCAATGCTGGCAATAAGGAAGCCATTCGACGAGGAGCCCTTATGAAAATGGTTCAAATTTCTGCCCAGACCTTACCTCTTTTTGTAAGCAAGCCGGGTGAAAAGGTGCCTCCTTTATGTGGCGCTACGCCAGCAGAAAGCAACTACATTGCAAAAGTTGGTGATAACGTGGCAGCTTTAGTTAAAGGTGTAGAAGATGATGAGAATTGGATTTTAGCAGAAGTTGTGCAATTCTTGCATCGCCAAAATAAATACGATGTGATCGATATAGATGAAGAGCAAAAGGATCGACATGTATTAAGTAAGCGTAAGATTATACCACTGCCGTTGATGAGAGCTAATCCAGAAACTGATGGTCATGCCTTGTTTCCAAAAGACACAGTTGGTATGTCAATAGAAAAAAAGTATCAATTTATACATATTGATATTCATGTTATTTTTAGTCATGGCGCTGTATCCACAAACAACATGTTTTTACAAAGCTATTATACATCGTTTGCCACAGACAGCTACAGAGGATTATTTAGTGCTATTTGAGGACTCTTCTTGTACAAACGGATACGCTGATCCATTACCAGTGGCTCAACGGTATGTCATTGCTTACAAACCAACAAAGAAGAGTGGAGGAGGTGGAAGTGGAAGTGTTTCTTCAGCATAAGGAAATAAAAACAACAATTATATTCAGTTAATATATCTTATAAAATAAAATCTAATAATTAAATCTATATTTACAATTAAATTACTCTACATCATCATCTTTTTCATTGCCTGACTCATCCTGATCCATTTCTTCATCTTCAACTTCATCGCCTTGACCACTGTCTGTTTTATCCTCCTCGTCATTAATATCATCTTCAACATGCAATTCAAAACCGCTGTCCTTTGTCCAGGAACATTTCATTGTTAATTGAAATTTGGCCATGGGTTTCGCAATCAGTTTTAATATTCTCGCTTGCTCTGGTGTCAACACTTTACCCTCTTCGCACACTGTGTAATCACTAAACAATGTTACAACACCCTTTTGAAGTTTTGTTGGCATTCCCAGAGATCTTAAATGTGGTTCTATGGAATGTGTGAATTCCTCGAGTGGACCTGCCGGCAACACAACAGTTTCTGTTGCTTTAAAACCACTGCGAGCGTATTCCACAGCCCAGTACTTTTTTGCCCACTCCAAAACTTCCTTCTTTGATTTTTCTGTGAATAGTAGACCAACTTGTCCTGTCAATCGTTTAGAAAGCTAAAGTGATACCATTAGAGAAATTCATTTAAATGAACTAAATATATATATATTTACCTTGTAAAGGTCTATTTCTATTTCCTCAGCTTTGCTACGTCCTAAACCAATTTGCATTATGCGATTTTTACCAAAGAAGAATCGAGAGTTTGTTTTCCATTCTTGGCGAAGATCTTTTAAAAGATTGTTACGCATATTTTGAGCTTGAAAAACGAAAATATTTGGGTATTTCTCAACACAGTGGCGTATATCTTCAATAATTTTTTGTTTCCATGCTAGCCCTTTGCGATCAGTCTTGGTCAACGAAACTGTTAAATACGTATAAACAAATCAGTTATGAAATCTAACAAAACGTTATTGAAATTGAAGTAATATACACTTACTTTTCTTATCTCTTTTTGAACGTGGCATTTTTAAATTATTTTTTTGGGAAACGAATTGATTTCTTTCTCGATTTACGCCAAAATTTACTATGTGAAATCAACACGTGCAGTATTTAAAATGGTTAAATATTATCGAAATATATTTTTACAACACAAAATGTATATCGACACTGCGATACATTCTTTAAAAACGATTAATTAGATCGACATTATCGAAACAAACCAATAATAAAGTAGTGGTTTTATGCATTACTTGAAAAAGTCCATATCCCCGTAAGGTTTTCTATCTTATGACCCCAATAATTGATACACCGATCTTAAACGACAGTGTTTTTTATTTCAAATGCTTAGAAATGCAAATAACATATTCAAAAAATTTTGTGTGAATGTAAGTTCAATCAGAGAACTTAAAACTTGTTCTAAGTTCTCTGGTTCAATATTATTATTGTAATAGATTGTATATATCAGGGAAGCTTTTAATAGTATTAAGTATGAGAAAAGTGCTTAGCAAAATATTGTACCTTTTTTATATTTAATAATTATAAAACCATTTAAATATTCTAAATACTGTTATATACAGTGACAGCGTTATATAATATAGTTTGTTTAAAAATATATTTTTAATTTGATGTTAGAAGTGCAGCCTTTAAATTTGTTTGCCGAAGTGCGCAACCCTGTTTTCCCATCCCTGCTTCAGATTTGTCATCGATTCGTCAACGCGTGGGAAAAGAAATCGGTTTGTCTGTCGCAATTGTGAAAATTAAAATAAATTTTAAATTAAATTGTTGGTGAATTTGCAAATTGAGTGGTAAGTATTAAATATATTGAATGCGCAATGAATTGTTATGAAATTTTGTTATGCGCCTTACAAATGTGTATTAAGTGTTTAGAGAATGTGAAAAGTGCGGTTGTGTAGGTAACAAAAAAAATGAGCAGGTGAAACAGGCAGGTATATATGCCGTTAATATAATACGAAAAGGTCATTAATATAATGACAAAAACAATTAATTTAATATAAGTCGAAGTGTATTGTATCTACTAAGGAACTGAGCGCCTTGGAACATGTTTGTCATTATTGTAGGATGGACTATTCTTCATAGTGCATAGATTAATTAAAAGTGAATTTTAATTGAGTCAACTTATCTGATTTGCATCACAAATTTTTACTTCTGGAAAATCGTAATTTGGCGGTACTATAGTTGCCCCGGCTGCGACGCAGCTAACCATGTAGTCATGATGACGTAATGCGCTAAATCAGCTCGGCACAGAGTGGTCATACCGCAAAAATACTGCAGTGATAATTGGGGAAACAGAGTTGCTTAGTTATCCTATGCCACAATAAGCAATCGTTCATATTTCTATATACATCGTATTATATGTTTCTAATGGTTAATATTAGTAAATAATACACCGTCATTTGCTGTCAGAAATGTCACTCATCTTTAATTTTTTGGTTGCTTTTTACCCAAATATGTAACACGAATGGTGTTTAAAAGTTCTGAAATATTCATACATACAAACATATGTATTTGAGCGCAAAGTTTAAGTAAATTTCCCACGCTTTGCGTATAAATTCGTAGAATATTTATACCCTAAAGAGGGTACGAGTATATTAAGCTTGTCACAAAGTTCCCTAGAAGGAAACACCCGAGACCCTAAAAAATATACATATATGTACATACATACATATATAAATGATCAGCATGATGAGCTGACTCGAATTAGACATGTTCGTCTGTCTGTATGTACTCGAACTAGTTCCTCAGTTTTTTAGATATCGATATGAAGTTTTGCTTTCGGCCTTTTCTCCTCAATAAGCTGCTCATATGTCGGGATCGCTCGAATACTTTTTTGGACAAGGTGTCTTCCCAAAATTTAGCATAAATTATTATCCAAGGCAACGCTACAATATCTGAAAAAAAAATTTCAAATCGAACCAGTACATCATATAGCAGCCATACAAACCGTACGATTAAAATAAAGTTGTATGGAAACTTCTTTATTTGTGAAGGGTATTTTAGATTCGGTTCAACCGAATGTTAATTCTTGTTTCGAATAATTTTAATATAAGATGAGAATGATTCCATATGACATTAGTTCGTTAGAATGAACAGCATGTAAATATGTACATACCATATAATGTTGAAACTTTTTTTCCAAGCTTTAACAATTGAAATGTAATTATCAACAATTGAACGGTCTCTGTATGTTATGTATCATCAGTTCAGTTGAGCGATGCATTATTCAGAAGGCAGATGAATAAGCCGGTTGCATATTTTATTTCAATCCCTTGTCGCCCCGTTTCAAAACAGTGTGACTACTGCCACAATTACTCATATATATAAATACATATTTATACGCATACGTAAATTTGTATTTATAAAAGTTATTGCACTTATGTATATGTTTGCCAGTCAGTGCAGCACGTGATGTGTTGATATTGCAAATGAAATTTTGGTAAATAAAATACTATACTATACTACATATGCCAATCGGCATATACATATGTAAATTTAGATGAATGTAAGAATTTTTTGTACTTTTGTATAGAAATGATGAGTAGTAAATATAAAGTTTCTTTAATTTGGTGAAGTATATGCCGCAACGTGGTTTCAAAATGCTATTGACTTCATATTGTTATCGTTCACATCTTATTCACTTTGATAAGGCACATTGTGATTTTAAGCAATTGTTGTATGTTATTGTGTATACAAAGGGCATTTAAATATAGTATCTCAGAGTTGCCAACACTATTGCAGAGCGACCTTGCTGTGAGCATGTGCTAGTACTGGAATGAATAGAAGTGAGAATTTAATCCATGCTCATAATTGTGAATGTTGTAGAAGCAAAAGAACTGGCGGTATTACGGGCCAGTTGGTTATGCATTTTAAGGCTTGTGTATCTTTGAATAGTATCATTCATACTTTCTATGTAATTTTATTTGCTAATTTCTTTATCGTGGATTTTTTCGCTCCAAATGTGTTCGCAAATGTACATTATTGCGGATTTTCTCAGATACCTGCTCTCTTTTTGGAGGGCATTGTATGAGCACTAATAGAAAAGTGCTTGATTATTTGTGGCGTAGAGATGCCACCTAAATATTTATAGATTTGAATATTTTAGTTTACATATACATATATTTTTTGTACGTACATATATGTATGTATGTATATACATAAATGATAATAGTTATTTTGGTGAAATTTTACTCTATATAAAATAGCAGTTCTTATAGTAGTATAAAGCTTTCCGGAAATTGTTCAGAAGAATAATGCTGCGTTGACAGTCCTTGAACGGATATATTGTAAATTCGGTTCCGCTCCGGTTAAGGAAACTAAAATTTGTAAAATTATAGCAGCATGCTTTTAGGGGCTTCCTGATATCCTCAAATACAAGTGTATATACATATGTGTTTTTTCCAGATTTCAGAATCGACAGAATTCGGCAGAAGTTTGTATTTAAAAATGCCCAAATGTTTTATAATCTACCACAAATTACAGGCATGAACAAACCTGTCTGTAAATTCTTTTAGCGTGTATAGAGTGTGTTTCATTTATTACAAAACTCAATGTACTTTTTGAGTATCTAGTGTAATTTTAATGAAATATATTTTAATAAAGTATAAATTTTTGGACTGCTGACCATATTATGTTGGTTAAAGCCAGGTAGAAACATCTGGCAATTCTACTGCACTGACTCAGTTTCGCTCTGCACACGCGCACTATGTTCTCTATTCTCTCGAGAAGCACAAGTTCTATAGTTTTCTTTTTGGTCGTAGCCTCAGTATAGTGGTTTTCATCGTCTGTATGTCGTTGTCGTCGCTTTCAGTCGTTCGTTCTCGTCGTCGTCGTTGTAGTCGTTGTCGTCATTTCAATTGAAGCAAAAGTAAGTAAAATATAATTTTTACCTACTTCTTAATGCAAATGAAAATTAATGGAGAAAAGTGAAAAATAATAAAACGAAGTGATAAAACGTTGTATAATTAAAGACATAGTATGTGCATAGAAGAAACGAATTTGTTGAAATTTGTATCGTATGCATGTGTATGTATGTAACTCAAAGTGACGAAAGGCACACTTTTAAATCATTAACCATTTTACTTAACTAGTGGACTTTGCTGTGATCTACTATGTGTAAATATATGTCCATAATTGTAAAACCAATGGCATTAACTGCTTTTTTTTACCTTTCGCGATGTCATGGTTTTTCTAGTATAATATATGTGGTGTGGTGTGGTGTGGCTACTTATATGCATGTACGTTTAACTCGATCGATAAAAATACTACGCAAAAAGTCGAGCGCGGCGGCGAGTAGAGCAACAGCAACAGCATGTAAAGTAAAAAAGCAACAACAACACCGCCTCAGTGGCAGAACCCATAATAGTAGGCAACTTAAATAATAAGAGTGTGTATATGTGTGTGTGTGTTTATGTGCGTGTATATGTTAAATTCCTCGTTCGTTTGTTCACTCGTCGTTATCCACAATCCGCCAAGTTGGGGGGGCAACACACATTTGGCAATCAAGGCGGTGGCGACAGGCGACTAGCGGTTGGCTGTTGTTGTTGATTATGATGGCCTGACTTGCGCTTGTAGTCGCTACCACATTTTCTTTACCTTACCAACTTGGATTCGCTATCGTGTTAACCATGTTTGCAGACGGTTTTCCGTTTTTATATTGCCAACTAATTACGGATAAAGAATGCCGACAATGTTTTTGTGTGCAGCGAGTCTTAAATGAAATGTTTCCAAATACAACAACCACTTGATATAACTATGGTTCTAAACCCTACACATTAAGTACCAAATCTGATCTATGCGTAATATTTGCGGAGACTTTTGAATATCAATTATGTACGTTCATACACACACATACATACAACTGTATAAATATATATATATATGTATATACGCTGGTGCAGTAACTTGAAGCGTATACAAATGAGTCAACAAAAAGTGACGCAGACGTCGGCGCAAGCGTTGTCACAGATGGAATTTCTAAACAGTTTTTCCCTCCAAGACTGTCTAACAATATTTCTATCTGGTTGATGGAGCATATTTTTATTATAATACATCTTTTTCTATAATAACTTTTAATTTAACATAGACATAGTTTTTTGAGCTTTTTTTTTATTTCTAATATTATCCATAGCGGCACGTACTATACCTCGTGTACAATGCCTGTGTTCATACATAGATACATACATATGTATATACATTCACAATCTTCTTAAAGCAAACAAACTTATAAATGCGTTTATAAGTATGTGTAAAAATTCATATCTACATGTACTACATACATTGAAATATGCGGCAAAATGCGTATGTGCAGAAAACCGTTCGCTTGTGGATGTGGTTCTTTGCCTTTGCTACCAAGTCGTTATTCGGTTATTTCTTCTTGCATATAAGAACGCTATAGAAATTTATTGAGTTCTCCACCTTGTCGATGGGCTGAAGTCGTTGCGTTGCCTTGTCGTCGCCGACGTTCTGATAAAATTTCATTGTATCCCCACATACATTTTTTAGTTTGCATTCGCCCAAACTATAAATCCGCCCATTTATGCTCGTATTTAAGTATATGTGTATGCATGTATATATGTATAAATGTAGGTCTCTCTTCCCTGGCGTTGGTGGTGTTGGTGTTGGCACTACCTTTGGCGCTTCGTTAACCGTTGCTGCTGCTATTGCTATGTCGTTGACGCTCTCGTTCTTGTATATATGAAATATATTAGTATTTCATGACTCTCGCTTAAATTTGCCTTTGTTGTTGCTATTACTGTAGAGCATCGGTATCCCCCCAAAGTAGACTTCACTGCACATGCCAGACCTGTATCGTACTATTTGTTTCGCTCCTTATAA